GACCGCGCTCCGGCCGGAAGCTGGTGGCGCGCACGCGCCGCGGGGGTGGGACACTTGGTTGCTAGGAGCGGATTGAAGGCTGAAAGGGCCAATTGGGAAGCGAGACGACGCTGGCTCTCTGGTAGAGCTTCGCAGGCGTGGGGAAGTGGGCACAGGTATCTGTAGGGCAGCCTTAAACTACGTTTACTAGGTTAGGAAACGTGTGCTTGAAAACTAGGCCATCTGATAAGTTTGCGGCACATCAGTGCATTTGCTCTGATTCCCGATGGACTCCTTGTAAGGTTCTCTGGCAACAGCTTCATGAGGACCTCTGCTTCTACGTGCGGGTGTCTCTGTTGGGGACGCAGCAGTACTAAATCGTGTCCTGTGTTAGAGGTGACGCCTGCCTGAATTATTGACACACCTGCCTGCTGGTCTTTTTCCACCCTGCTTTCTGCCTTTCCTCAAGAATTCTTCTTCCCAATCAGGAAATTTATTTCGTCTTTTACTTCTCATAAAAAACAACTACCGATATTCAAAGGCAAGAAAAGAGCCTTGTTTTTAATAGCACTCACATCTTCCTGGCTCGGTTTTTCCCACCTTCACTGCAGCCCGAATTTGTGAGATAACAAAGTTGATATTGCCAGGCGCGGTGGCTCTCACAAGGCTGAGGATGTAGCTCAGCGCGAAAACCTGGGTTCAGTCCCTACACCCGGAAAAAAAAAAAAAAAAGATTGTGGATAGAATGCCTGAATTGTGGGGCGGTTGCTATTTCTTTCATACAGTGGAAAGTACTCTCGATCTGGGACCTTTAGACCTGTGCCAACTCCTGGTCTCGTTTTGTCTAAACTTACTGCAGACGGTATGATGTCGCAGTGATTCATGTACGCGGCAGTACTTCCCCAGCTCTAGTGCTGGAAGAAGTTAAAAGGTATAAAAAATAGCATGCATAGCAGGATGAGGCCCCCAAATGGCTAAGTCACACATTCCTGTTCTTCTTTCTCTTATTAGTAAGTTTGCATTTTCTGAAATAAAGCTCCTCTTAAAAAAATAAACAACCTGACTCCTGAAGATGTGACTAAAGGGCTAGTCAGGTGCCTATACCTCAGGGAGTTTCTTTTATCCCAGTTCCAAGCAGCTCTAAAGATTTAGGAAAAGAAAAGAAGGCTTGCTGGGGATTTAGCTCAGTGATGCCACTGCCTGCCTTGCAGGCGCAAGGTCCTGAGTTCAATCCCTGGTACAAAAGGAAAGAAAAGAAAAGAAGGCTTAACAAGGACATGATAAGTACCTTAAATATGTAAAGGACATCTATTTCTCCCCCCACCTCTGAAATGAAAGTGTAATGGGTACCTAAGATCCTTTCTCATATTTTGAGCATGCTCCTGGGGAAGACAGTTGCCATATGGCATCGCCGAAACCAACACAGGAGTAAATACGAAGAGGAAAATAAAGTCAAATAAAAGTTTCCTGCATCAGTTTCAGAGATGGAGGCTGTGACATCAGGAATATGTCGTGCAGGAAACTGCAGGGTGTTTTGTTGTAGTTGTTGTTGTTGCTGTTTGGTTGATTTTATAGGGTCCAACGCGAGTCCTCTGATTTTGGCAGGAAAGTCATTGTGTACTCTCACTAAATGGTCCAGTCCTCACATTGGTTGCAAACAAAATCAACAAGGTTTTCAACTCTTACCCACTCGTTGTCATCGGGGCTATGTTTGTCTTTCCCAGTCAGCCAGTGAAATCCATCCTCTCCCTTTGGGCTAGACCATTTCCTCCTCCTCCACCACCACCACCATCATCATCTTGGTGGTGCTGGAGGCGAACGCAGGGCCTCCCGTGTGCTAGGCGAGCACCCAGTCTCGAGCTGCCTCCCAGCCCCGCACCTACCCTTCACCATCCATCATGCCATTCAGTGACGCAATCTTCTTGTGGAAACCACAGTAGGACAGAAGTTAGAACAGAAACCACAAATAGAAGTTATCTGCTGAGAATGTGACCCCAGATTTGGTAATTCTTTTTTTTCTCCCCAGCTTTGCTAAATTCTGTGACTTGAGTGCCAATTAAAAACACCAAGGTTGAAGTTCAATCCCGGGTACCCCCCCCCCAAAAAAAAAACACCAAGATTGAGCCACCAGAGGGAGCCCCAAACCTATTAAGCGTGAAAGCTGCTCAGTTGTTAACCCAGAAATGTTCCTCTCACTAGATTTTCCCAGGACACACACTTATGTTTATGAAACAATCTGCAGTCCCGACATAGTGTCTAAGTTGCTATTCCAAAATAACCTAAGCTAGGTAGGCTATAAACAACAGAAATTTTATTCCTTATACTTCTGACAGCTGGAAGGACAAAGTTCAAGGTGCTGGCAGATTCAGGGTCTGGGGAGGGCTTTCTGGTATGCAGACAGTGCCTCCTTGCTCTCTCCTTGCGGTGGATGAGAGTAGCCAGCTCTCTCAGGCCTCTTTTATAGGGCACCAATGTCAGTCATATGGGCACCATCTTCATAGTTTAATTAGGGCTCACCTCCTAATGCCATCATCTCGAGGGGAGGATTTCGATGTAAGAACTTTGTAGTGGACACGAACATTCAGATTATTATAGACAGCCAAGTCAGGTAAAGATATTCTAGGCAGTCAGACAGGGCTGGGCCCTTAGGAAGTCAGTGCAGAAGATGAGAACACTTCACAACTGAGGCTGCAGGCACCTCTGTCAAAGGCCAGGCCCAAGATAAAGATAGACCAGGCCTGCGTGGCTCCCCGAGGGAGAAACAATGACTTGAGATTACACTATAATCGGTATCGCCTGGCCCAGTAAAGTCCAAATACACACCACTCACCCAGGTGGGTGACCAGAACGTCCGGACCTAACCCTTCCCAAAATGCCTTTGTGCTTTCCGGGTACCCCTGCGATGTGACGCGCTCCCCTATTGGCTCGATGTTATCGAGTGGCTGTACCTGTAATCTCATTGGTTGACGACAGCTGGACCTTCTTGGTCCTCACCTTGTGACTTTGCACCCGCCTTGTGATTCTGCTCTAGAAAACATTCTTAAGAGAAGTGGCCTTGGTGGCACCCACTCTCTGGTCTCCTCCTGTCTTTCAGGAGCTATCTCTCAAGAAATCTTCCCTACTCTTAACCTCTGTTGTTCCTTAGAATTCAGTCTTCGATTTTGTCCAACATCTAACAGGTTGACAGCTATATTTTCCCCTGCATCAAGATCACAACACACAATTTCTGCAGGCTTCAGCCCATGTAGAACTCAATTTCCAACTGAAAATCTAACTTCAATATTAAATATAAAAATCAGGCTCTCTTCGAATCTCAGATGTAGTGGTGAATCAAAATTCAAGCAAATGGAATTCATTTTGCTAAGGGCCGGGCATCTCTAGCTTTGATTTTTTTTTAAAGTTGCTTTTTTGCTGAATAAAATTCTTCCTGTGAGGATTTTCCTAGAAATAGGTAACAAAGTGTCTCTTCTGCTGCAACAAAGTTGTAATTCCTCTAATATGAAGTTACCTATAAAATTCTCTTCTTTTTTCTCTTGGAGACAGGTCTCTGTATGTAGTGCTGACCTTGAACTCACTACCTGTGTAGCTCAGGCTGGCCCAGAGCTAATAGCAATCCTGCCTCAGCCTTCTAAGTGCTGAGGCTACAGGCTTGGGCCACCACTCCCCAGGAAAACAATTCTCAATTAGTAACATATCTAGAATTCAAAGGACACGATTGATACCTGTTTCTTCTGTGCCTTTGGCATCCATAACAGCAGCATCCATAAATTCAGTACATCACTACATGGAATGTCCGTGATTACCCAAAAGTTAAAGAAAACAGTTCAGCTGATAGCATGCCTCTCATCCTTGTAATTCCTCTCCTCATGCTATGCTCACTCCCGTGTTATGCGCATTTGCAGTAGTAAAGTTGGAAGAGTTAAATATAGAAACGCATTTACCCATACTAGACAGAGCATGAGTGCAAACGCTTTCATCTCAGAGTATTTATGCGAATGTATTGAGCGACTTATTTCCATAAATAATATGCCAAGCAGACGTTCTTATCTTAAAGGATGTAACAAAAATCCCCCAGAATAAGATATAATTCTAATTGTTCTTTAGATTTTTCTGTCTTTATTCTTTTTCACCTGTCCAGGCTAACATAATCCTTACAAAGAAACAGAGTCCAGGGAAGTGGGAATGAGATATATTTTCGGGACTGCAAACATTTTGTCGGCTCCAGCTCAAAGAACATCATTCTGGAAGTGCGTTCTCACAAACAGACAGGGTCTCGCTGTGGTGTCCAGGCTGGCCTCATACTCCTGAGCTTGAGTGATCCTCCTGACTCAGCCTCCCGAGTAGCTGGGACTATAGCCGCCCACTCCCACACCTGGCTCATCATATTTTTTAGAAGCTAATAGTAAGTTAATTTTTCCTATGTTATTGGTTCAAACTATTAAATTAAGATCTACATTAATGTATTATAATGGTAGCAAACTGTCTTGCCTTCTTAAATCGGTCTAGTGTGGAAGTCAGACATCGAGATGATGAAAATTGCTAGGAAAGAGACAAAAATGGGCTACTTTAGAGAGGTACTGGGGATAGGGAAAGCCCTGACATGTTTTCCTGCTGTCTATGCCACCCGTCACTAAGCACAGCTGTGTGTCTGAGAATTTTTCCCATACACCAGGCAGTTCTTGGGCAGATGCCAGCTAGGTACCCTTTGATTTCACTGTTTGGTGTTTTTGAGACAGGGTCTTTCTACATAGTCCAGGATGACCTCGAAATCACTAAGTAACCCAGGCTGGCCTTGAACTGGCAGCGACCCTCCTGCCTCAGCCTCTTGAGTGCTGGGATTCCAGGTGAGCACCACCACGCCCAGTTTAGGTATCCTTTAACCCAAGTCGGTGCTGACACTGTCCCCCGCTGATGTCAGCTCCCGTAGATCACGGGCTCATTCCCACAAAACCACCCCACCTCTTCACACCCCCATCCCAGGGCTCAGGTTATGACCCGCACTCTGAGCAGCTGTCAATCGGGGTCCCCGCTGCCTCCTCACCTCAGGGTTATTAACATGTTGCGCAGCTCACAGAATGCAGGAAAGCGCTTTGCTAACTGTACTAGGTATTCATAAAGGATGCAGAGGATGAAGACAAAAAGGCAAGGCCCCAGGGGGCTGGAGTGCAGTCCAGGGAGCTGTGGCACTGCCTTCTGGGGGTGGATGCATCATCAACCAACCTGCAAGCTCCCGGCCACGGTGTAGGTGGTCAGTTACTCACTCTGTGTCCAGCCCCCTCCCCTCATCCGGATCCAAGCTTAGGGTCACGGTCGGTCTCTCTGGTGACCTCAGTAGGACCAAGACACTCAAATCCCTCCAGAAATCCCAAGGGGGGGATACAATATGTGTGTTTATTACTTTACAACAGGGAAGAAGGGAAGGCCTCGCTGAGGGAGCGGGCCCAGGCAGTGTGCAGCCAGACAGAGGGGACGGAAAGGAGGGGGAGCATGAGGTGAGAGGAGACAGCCTATGCCAATGGCCTGGGGTTGACCGTTCTCCCTGTGCTTAAGAAATCAAAAGAAGAAACCTTTGGTCCTTTGGTTTAAGAAACCAAAAGAAGGCTGGCAGAACATGCCGTTGATGTGGATTTTCTAACGGTGTATGTTCTAACTGTGCCACACACAGATGGGTATTTTGTTATTCTGAGTAGGTGGGACGTTGTGTGAGGATAGAATTCTTCCGCGTCATAGGAATCTAGTGGTGTGCTGGGATGTAGTTGGTGCCCGGTAAATACCTGTTGAGTCAGACTCGACTGAATGTGAAATTGAGCCAGGTGGCTCACGTTGTAGGGCGGAGATCTTGTTCTGTCCAGACACGAGTGGAGACCGAGGTGGACCTCAAAGGTGATCTTCCAGGAAAGCGTCCCCGTCCCCGACAGCCCACTTCCGGCCATGCATCCCTCCTTCTTCTGTGTATGTTTAAGGTTATTATTACAGGAGCCTGTTAACATTCAGGATCACGCCCGTGATCATGGCTGATGCTCCCGTCCTTGAGGTTGAATGTGCCATGCACCTGGAAACCCACGTGGGACAGGCTGATCTAAACTTTCACCTTCCTCATCTTATTTTTAAATATTTCATCATGTTAACTGGGTTCTCGAGTAAACTCCATCCCTCCAGGCCCTCCTTTTATGGCTGAATTAATCCACCCAAGAGAACCACTTGCCCATGGATCAAACCCAAGACACAACAGATCTGAGAAATCTATCTTAGCCAACCCTGGAGCCCTCCGGCACTCAGATATCTGAGCATTGACCCAGTGTTTTATAAGCTCTGATCTCGGGGACTGAGCCAGAAAGAAGACCAGCCCACTGGGATAAGAAAGCAGCTGCAGGGAAAGGGAACAGACCGTACTTTCCTTGACCTGGAGAAGTTATTAATTTTCCTTGACCTGCTTACCTCCTGTGAGATTAGCGTCCCTGCTCTGGATTTCTGCAATAGTCTGCATACTTCTTACAGCAAGGTTCCTCTGCCTTCGCTGTGATACCCTTGTCTGTCTACACTCCTTAAGGGCAGAAAATGGGTCTTGCTCTTCTCCGGGTGCCCGTACCTCCCACAGAGCCTGAAGTGCTTTTGTGCAAAACAGAAATGGGCTGAGTGGCTGAGTGAGTGCATAGTTGCAAGGCCGGACGGGTGGGAAGGGAAGCCTTCGATGCCCTCTCATCTGCCCACTCTGCATGCCAGACTGTGTGCCAGGAAGTCAGAGGGTGTGATGCCCAGAGCAGGGCAAGGCCGAGATGACAGAGTTAAGGGCCACCCCCACCCCCAATGAACCACCTACGCCAGGCCTTTCATTTACAAAGCCTCAGCACAAATCTAAGTCCTCCCGGAAGACGCCCTTCACATCTTCGGCTCCAATTTCCGTACCTGGAGGTCCTATTGCACGATCTAGTTGCTTGTGGTTAGGGAATTAAAGTGATTTTGTGAGATCTGTAGGTGCTTCGGGAATCTGTACCACCCTTCTAACAATCTATCAATGTCGCCCCGCACAAACATCGAGCAATTGTTTGTTACTCAGATTTTCCTCACTGTGGCCAATTCCTGAGGAAACCATGTAAAGGAGGGAAGACTCAGTTGGGCTCATGGCTTCCGAGATTTCAGTCCATGGGCTGGCTCCTGTCAATTGGCTTCGTTGCTTCTGGGCTGTGGGGAGGCTCACATCGTGGCAGGGGATTTGGGAGAGCAAGTGGCTCCCGCGGTGGGCGGGAGGCAGAGAGAGAGGGAAAGGCCTCTCACGAGCCAATCACCTTCCCAAAGACACCTCTGAACACACAAGCCTCGGCGGCAATTCTTATCCAAACGATAGCAGTGCTTCATAATAATTAAACTGGTTTATTCCCTTAATTACTAGAGAGTCACTTAGGTTTTATTTGAATTCAGGAAGAAAAGCTTGAAGAATCTCAGAAAACCTGACTTGGGTATTAGAAGTATTTGAGGGCTGAGAACTGACTTAATATTTTATAGGATCTGGTCTTAGCGTCTGAGCTACAAACAAGGACCCGGAGACAGGGAGGAGACAGGGCGAACATGGTTTATCCGTACGGATTCACAGAGAGCCGCTTCACCAAAGTTTCGTCTAAGGGCTGGGGCTGTAGCTCAGTGGTGCTGCACCTGCCTGGCAAGCACAAGGTCCTGAGTTCAATTCCGGGTATTGGGTAAAAAGTTTCCTCTAGTGATTTGCTACACCCATCAAAAAAGGGCCTGGAATCTTTACTTTCTACTTTCCAAGGCACTGGGAAAGGAGACAGAAATTAGCTGTTTGCTACACCATTATATTTCACGGACTGACGAGAGGACCTCATTGGAACAGTGACAGACAGGGACGAGGAGGGGAGAGGAAGACACTGTTCTGATTCCTCTCCAGTTGGGAAGATGGGAAACTTCCTTCACAATGATCCCACTGTTCTCATTGCCCTCAGTGCTGAATGCTCGATTGTCCAGCATTACGAAGGCAGAAGGCCGCCGTTTCCCTCCCACTCCTAAACGTGTAGGGGTGGCTGTGAAACCCTAGGCATTTCTCAGAATTTTCTTTGGCCCACTTATTTCTGCGTTGCCACTGCAAAGTTTTCTAACTCCAAGCGAGCCGGACATGCTCCAGAACAGGGAATGCGACAGAGCTGCCCGGGGGCCACAGGATGGGACAGAACTCACCATTTACTTCGCGGCCGGCCGGCTCTGCTCGGGGCGGCGCCTGCATCCTGTCCCCGTGTGGCTCCATCTCTCCTGAACGAGCTGCTCCCCTTCCCACATGTCCTCCCTCTGCCCCTCCTGATCTCGAGTGGATGCTGGGTGTCAGTCGCGTCCCATCTGTCTCTGACCTTCCCGACAGGGTCTACCAACTTGCTGCTGCTCCTGAGCAATTCACGTAAACTTTCCGAGCCCGGTTTTGATAATCTACACAAAGGAATTCTATTGAGCTGTCAGGCAAGGCTCTGCCACACAGGCAGAGCGACATGAACAGAGAGCTGGGCTATATATATAATGGAGTTAAGTCCTTTATACGTAGGCCTCATTTCATCCTCACAGGTTTGGTGGCACACCTGTAATCCCAGCACTTGGGAGGCTGAGGCAGGAGGTTTGCCATGAGTTTGAGGCCAGGCTGGACTACATAGTGAGACCCTGTCTCAAAAAACAAGCAAACAACTAAAACAACCCTCCCAGTAAGCTTCGAGGTTGAAACTATTATTTCTTTTTCTTTTTTCCGGTACCAGGATCAAACTCAGGACCTTGCGGTTGGGAGGCAGGCGCAGCATCACTGAGCTAAATCCCCAGACCTGGAACTATTATTTCTAATTCATCGATGAGAGAACTGAGGTACTAAAAGGTGAAGGAATGCCCCAAGTTCACACAGCTAGTAAATGACAGAGGTAGGATTCAATACCAAGAGGCTGGCTGGGTCCAAAGTCCTTGCTGTGCTGCACAAGAACTAAAGTTAGATCTGCAGACCAGGTCCACAAGTCAGTAGTTGTATGACCTTAAGCAAAGCTTTAAAATTCTACACCCTTGGGCCGGGGATATAGCTCAGTGGCACTGTGCCTGCCTCACAAGCGCAAGGTCCTGAGTTTGATCCCCTGTACTGGGGGAAAAAAAAAAAAATCTACACCAGTTTTAATCATTTGTAAAATGAGGAGAAAATTAATACCTGCTTCATAGGTTCAGTTATCTAAAAATATATATATGAAGCTCCTACCATTTGCTGTATGCTGGGAGTACTGTGATGTCGTGATTATTAAATCCAGTATGTTCTTGCCAGGTCGCCAGGTTATTGGTCATTAATATTAATTAATGTCATGAATAATAAGAAGCCAGTAATCTTATTACTCAACTAGAGATTATGTTCTATCTCATCCCATATAGCTGTTTTCTATTGGTCCCCTAATCGTATTTGGAATATTTCTGTGACACTGGGCCGTAGGATATTGCGTTGCCATCTTAACAAAAAGCAAACAGAACAAAACACACCGCGAGCGTCTCTCACGGCCGAGCAGAGAAAATGCTTTGACGAGAATCGTGGCTTGGTAAGAGCCAGGCAGGTCAGGAGAAGCCCGCTGACCACCGAGGACCACAGCGCCCACCTTACCTCTCTGGTGACATAAAAGAGCCAGCGACCTGGGCCTGGTCTGTCGGGCCCTCGTGCCCCTCAGTGCTGAGCTTGACTCACCCTGCATCCTGTGCAAGTCAGAAGGGGCTGCCAGGCCTCCCGGGGGCCACTCTCCAGATGGGGCGCGGAGCACACAGGCCTGAGGCAGCGCGCATGGGTACACGGCCTGGAGAGCCCGGCACCCGGGAGTCGTCATGCGCAGTGAAGGCTCCGTGGAGGAGCCGGATACATAAAGCGCTTTCTTCTCCATTCTGAACTTGTACTCCGCATCTTTTTCTTTCTTAACGTGACTTCCTGTCCTGCCTACCCCACCCCCTTGGGGTTCCTCCTACGAATAACAACAGCTAACATGTAGCGAGTGGTATTGTGAGTGCTGTGTTTGCATTAATTCCTTTGATCATTGTAACAGTTCCATGAGTTATGCACCTTCATGTCCCTGTGCACCGAGAAAGCTGAAGCACAAAGGCGTTGAATGCCTCACACAAGGCCATAGAACTCAAAATTGTGGGGTCAGGTTGCAAACCTAGGGAGATTAGTGCCAGCGCACACTCTCTTTGGTACCCTGTTTCTCCAAAAATAAGATCTAACTGGAAAATAATCAGCCTTGAAATGTAGAGAATGGCAGGTAAGGCGTGGAGGGGCTGAGTGGGGCTGGCACGTTCTGTTGTTGTTTTTTGTTTTTGAGACCGGGTCTCACTATGTAACCCAGGCTGGCCTTAAACTCACAGCAATCCTCCTGCCTCAGCCTCCCCAGTGCTGGGATCACAGGCCTGCCCCACTGTGCGTGGCTGGGGCTGTCGTTTTTTAATCTCTAGTTTTCAGGACTGATTATTTCCAGATAGGTCTTACTTTTAGGGAAATACAAGTACTGTACTGGATGTGTCTTATTCTGCCATGGTGCCTGTTACTGTCTAGGTACACATTTACCAAGGTGAAACTTTTCAGGCAGCAGGTAAGGGTTTTCTTCCTTTTCCTTTATAATTCAGTCAGTGAAGTGGGTCATTATTTACTAAAACCAATTCATAACTCAGTTATGAGAAATACCAAATCTTCCCACCTGGTATAATTCATGTTTTGACTTTTAGTAATTACTGGAGGGAAATAAGAATTTAGCAACAACACTGCACAAGCTGGCTTGGCACTGGCTGGGTTACAACCACAAACATACCTATTTAAAAAATGAGGCCAAAATCTCTCGTTAAGAAATTTCTTTGGCTGATTACTTAGTATAAGGTAGCATTCAAACTGCTACTTGCTGAAGAGTTAGGCACAAAATTGGCAGGATCGCCTTTATCATTAGCCTTATAAAAAGAGATAAGCATTGTTTTGAGATGGAAACAATGGTTTTATGAGGTATCAGAATGAAACGCTGGGGCCGGGGATTTGCTCAGTGGTTCCGCTGCCTGCGTGGCAAGTGCGAGGCCCGAGTTCGATCCCCGGTACCCCTGCCCCGCAAAAAAGAATGGAATACTGAGGAACTAGAACTTGAGATGAACCGGCTGGTGCAGCGAGGCCTGTGAGGTTCTGACTTTGTCCCAGGCTACGCATGGAGATGAGAATCTAGCAGTGGATGGAGTTCAGGTCTCCAGATCCGCACGCACTGTGCACTTCTGGGAGGGCACTTCCTTCCTTCCAGGACTCTCAGACGGGGTGCTCTCTGTGGACAGAGACGCGAAACTCCACACGGGCCAGCTTTTATCAGTCACCCTGCTAACGACACCACCCCTCACGCAGGAATCAGTCACTGTATTTTATACCTAAATAGATTCTGTGTATCACATTAGCTTAATTTGAAAACAGCTAAGGATCTGGCTGTTGTGGTTTAGCGAGTGAAGGGCGAACAAGCCCACCTTCCATCTGGGAGAAAAAACAGTAGTAGAAGCAATCTTATAAAATGTGCCTTGATGCTGTTCTAAAATCCTCAAGTGCGATTTTAGGATAAGAACCTTCAAGTGCAGGGAAGTAGACCATCTCTCCACGAATCTGCTGATAAATGTTACTTGCTATCTTTTTTTATGTGGTCTGGATACTTCTTTTACCAGCAGGGGAAACAGAGTGAAGGAACTTTTGGCCT